ACAATGAGGTTAAATAGTGGTGAAGTTGCCATTTATGTAGCTTTAGATGTACCTTTAATGTACGGGCATTTTCTGACATTGATTACCACAAATGTAATTACTTTGTTTTTCTTCATTAGTTTATCTACTGAATGTGCCTTTGTCTACTGGTAAGCGAATCTCCTATGGTTATAGTCATGGCAATTCCTTTTTTTCCCATTGAGTGAAAAAAGTCTATAGCATAGTTTTGACATAAAAGTATGATGAACTCACCAAGTTGTTAAAGGGCAACTCTGCCACCTTTCAACTCCATATTCATTATCTCCAGCATCAAACCAATGTCTACATTGCATTCAAAAAGTATTCAGACCCATTCATTTTTTCCACATTTTGTTACGTTAGTCTTGTTCTAAAATTGATTAAATAAATAAAAATCCTCAGCAATCTACACACAATACCCCATAATGACTACGTTTTTTTTTTTTGTAGGAAATGTATAAAAAAATCAAAAACAGAAATGCCTTATTTACATAAGTATTCAGAACCTTTGCTATGAGACCAGAAATTGAGCTCAAGTGCATCCTGTTTCCATTTATCATCCTTGAGATGTTTCTACAACTTCACTGGAGTCCACTTGTGATAAATTCAATTGATTGGACATGATTTGGAAAGGCACACACCTGTCTATATAAGGTTTCACAGTTGACAGTGCATGTTAGAGCAATAACCAAGCTATGAGGTCGAAGGAATTGCTGTAGAGCTCAGAGACAGGATTGTGTCGTGGCACAGATCTGGGGAAGGGTACCAAAATATTTCTGCAGTATTGAAGGTCCCCAAGAACACAGTGGCCTCCATCATTCTTAAATGGAAGAAGTTTGGAACCACCAACACTCTTCCTAGACCTAGCCGCCTGGCCAAACTGAGCAATCGGGAGAGAAGGGCCTTGGTCAGTGAGGTGACCAAGAACCCGATGATCACTCTGACAGAGCTCTAGACTTCCTCTGTGGAGATGGGAGAATCTTCCAGAAGGACAACCATCTCTGCAGCACTCCACCAATCAGGTATTTATGGTAGAGTGGCCAGACGGTAGTCACTCCTCATTAAAAGGCACATGACAGCACGCTTGGAGTTTGCCAAAAGGCACGGAAAGGACTCTCAGACCATGAGAAAAAAGATTCTCTGGTCTGATGAAACCAAGATTGAACACTTTGGTCTGAATGCCAAGCATCACTTCTGGAGGAAGCCTGGCACCATCCCTACGGTGAAGCATGGTGGTTGCAGCATCATGCTGTGGGGATGTTTTTCAGCGGCAGGGACTGAGAGACTAGTCAGGATCGAGGGAAAGATGAACGGAGCAATGTACAGAAACATCCTTGATGAAAACCTGCTCCAGAGCCCTCAGGACCTCAGACTGGGGCGAATTTCACCTTCCAACAGGACAACGACCCTAAGCACACAGTCAAGACAACGCAGCAGTGGCTTCAGGACAAGTCTCTGAATGTCCTTGAGTGGCCCAGCCAGAGCCCGGACTTGAACCCGATTGAACATCTCTGGAGAGACCTGAAAATAGCTGTGCAGCGACACGCCCCATCCAACATGACAGAGCTTGAGAGGATCTGCAGAGAATGGGAGAAATGGGGGAAACTCCCCAAATACAGGTGTGCCAAGCTTGTAGTGTCATACCCAAGAAGACTCAAGGCTGTAATCGCTGCCAAAGATGCTTCAACAAAGTACTGAGTAAAGGGTCTGAATACTTGTGTAAATGTGATATTTCTAAAAACATTGCTTTGTCATTATGGGGTATTGTGTGTAGATTGATGAGGGAAAAAATACAATTTAATCAATTTCAGAATAAGGCTGTAGCGTAACAACATGTGGAAATAGTCAAGGGGTCTGAATACTTTCCGAATGCACTGTATGTCTATATCATATGTCATGTATTTGAAGATAAATATTTAGGGTTTTACATATGACATTTTGCTGTAGTGGCAGAACCTTGTGGATCATAACACATGGCCCGTCTTGACCCTCTCTCTCTTCTTGTCCCTGCCTCCCTCTACTCCTCCAGGAGTGGATTGAGTGATCACTCTCTGAACATGGAGATCGCAGGCTTCATGCCCCCTCTCATCCAGGAAATGCGTAAGAACTCAGAGGGTCTGGAGGGCCAGGGGGCCGCTTCAGCAAAGGAGGTGCCCCACCAGGCAGCTGCTCAGCCTGCCCCAGCTCAGCCCGCAACAGTCCGCCTGCACCCTCCTCTTAGACGGGGGTCCACTGCCACCCCCCAGGCAGAGACAGCCAGAAGGCATGACTACAGACGGATCCAGCTAACTGACAGACTCCCACACTGTGACAAACAAGGACATAGTGGAGTGGGGTTAGGAAGATGGCCAAGCCTGGGCCCAACCAGGACGGACATTGACACTTTTAGGTCACACGCAGGCGTTAATGGACAGACAGCCGTCCCCCGTCCTCCCACTCCCCCTTTCTCAGCCCGGGACCGGGTGCCAAAAAGGGACGAACCCAACCCCATATCTGACTGAACAGTAGGGGGGCCTTAGATATTGGGCACGAGTCATCCCTAAATGTCGTCAGGGACAGCAAACGGGGGGCTCGGATAGGGGGCCTGTCTCTCCTTCTTCTTTACAACAGAGATCAAGTTTTTTTCTTACAAAAGATATATGGAAATACAAATATAAATTTTGAAAAATTAATGATTGCAATTTGAATTGTCCTAAGTGGAATTATGCATAAAAGAAGAGTTGCTATCTTTTTTCCTGTTTTTTACTCTCACTGTTCTTCGAACTTAGATGCATTTGTGATTTCCCCCCCCACCTCCCCAGACCTAGTGTTTTGTTCTCTTGGTTTCACCCAGGAATATCGGCACGCTAAGTTGTCACAGTGAAAATGTTTGTTTTTTCTATCAAATCAAAGAGAAGTAGAACAAAAATGATGACACGATTTCAGAAGCAATTAACTTTATGCACTAGACCTCTTGCACTGTCACGTTCACAGGTTGGATCAAATTGATACACAAAAAACAAATTGGACCAGGTTGGGATGGCATCTCTGTTTTGTTCCGTTTACAGTATTTTATTTTTCATGGGAGAAAAAGTTAATAAAATGTAGTGGTCCTATGATCTAGAGTCATATCGTTGTAGAGTTATGAAGATGATTTGTAAGGAAATACCAGCCATTACATAATGTACATAAGATGTATTCCTTATTTTTAAAGTACATGAAGTCTAGCCCTTTTGACATTGTCAAAGCCTTTTATGTTTTCCTTTTTGTTCTCGTTTTGGTATCTGAAGTGAAGGCATTGATCACTGATCAACTGTTTAGACCACTAAAGGAAGGGACTGACTTCTAGGACCACAACAGCCGTTGACAACCAGTGAAGAGAATTTCTACAGTCACAAACTGTACCACTTTACCAGTATGCTCACAACACCACTCCCTATGTAGCACATTGTCAGTAGGATGTATCTATCTATGTCCATGTAAACTCTGTGACACGATATCAGTATGCTCACAACACCTCTGCCTCTGTATGTATACATGTTCCCCATCTATCTACTCCTCCCCACAACACAACACAACAGCACTGCCTCTGTAAGTATGTTTCACAGTATCACACCTCTATCTCTTTATCTATCACAACAACGCAACTGCCTCTGTTTACACACTATCAGTATTTATCGGTCTGTCATCCCGGACTCTTGTGACACATGCGAGTACCTAGCTATTCTCTAGCCTGGCCTTAGATCCGTTTTTGCTGTCTTGCCAATGCATGACAATGAGAAAGGAGTTGTCAAGACAGCACAAACTGATCTGGGATCAGGCTAGCTATTCCCCCACCTCTAACCACTCTTTACACAGACAAGTGTAACCTACCAACCACAGTAGGTTGGTGGCACTTTAATTGGGGAGAATGGGCTTGTGGTATTGACTGGTGCGGAATGAGTGGTATGGTATCAAATACATCAAACAGATGGTTTCCATGTGTTTGATGCCATTCCATTTGCTCCGTTCCAGACATTATTATGAGCCGTTCTCCCCTCAGCAGCCTCTTGTGCTACCTACCTCCGTTCCAATGCCTCTACTGTTCAGTAGGAGTGGATCTGTCCTTCACAATGGATCGAACGCTGCTCGTGGCCAACCTCACTGCAGCCAGTATCACAACGCACAACTGTTGTTTCCCTGCACTCTCACTTGTAATGCAATCAGATGCACAACAAGCATTTGAGGATAAAATACATAAATAACTGTTTTGATTATGTCAGATCATTGAACGAAGAGAATAACATTGAATAAAGAACCCTGTCTGTGTGTGTTTTTAAATGTTTCTTAACTGGGGGTGGGTCCACCATTAGGCTGAAAATAAGATTGTGGTGGGACTTTAAGAGCAGTATTTCAGTGGGCCTGGGACTATATAGCAGGTCACGTTACAAGGACAAATACAAGGTTCAGAGACCCTTTAAGGGTTATACTACAATTTCTGTTTGGGGGGGGGGGTTATTTTTTAGGTTCTGTTCATTTATTATTGGCCCCTCAGTCTAGTTTAGAGCATATATGTTGCTCAATCGTTGTGTTTTATGGGTCTCATATTCTTGTTTTAAAAAATAAAACCAATGGTGTTTGTGGATTTGAGCTCCGCGTTGTGTGCAGGCGCAGTTTAGTGTAATTGGTGGCCAGACCAGAGACTAACCACATTAGTGGGCCAGGATTTCCTGTTTTGTGACAGTGTACCACTCTTCTCTGTCATTGTAACTCTAATACCGGAAAGTGTGTAGAAGATCACACATTGATTTATTGTACATGGAGGTAGCATTGCCAGACCATGGTAATTTAACTCTCAATTTTGCATAATCAGAATTTTAGTTTTGCTCATCCATTGTATTGTAACTTTACCCCAGTTAAATCTGTGGTAAATATTGCAATAATTTACTGCCAAGTGTTGGCGATAATCATACCTGATATTGGAGGGCATTACAAGGATCATGATGGGGAGAATTCTACTCGTTATGGCATTAGGTGAGTCTTTGTGTATTACAGTAACTAAGTTTTCATAAAGGAAGGTCTTTCAAGTGCCTTACATGAACAACAATAGACTCTATATAGATTGGTATCGGTTGTCTCTGTGATTTCTGCTTTATCCAAGTACAGTATGATATTGTCTCTGTCTAGTGTAGCCTTGTTTCAGTTGGCTATGATTTATATATTGGATATACTTTGTCTCCTGAGTGGCGCAGTGGTCTAAGGCACTGCATCGCAGTGCTAACTGTGCCACTAGAGATCCTGGTTCGAATCCAGGCTCTGTCGCAGCAGGCCGCGACTGGGAGACTCATGGGCGGCGCACAATTGTTCCAGGGTAGGGGAGGGAATGGCTGGCAGGGATGTAGCTCAGTTGATAGAGCATGGCGTTTGCAATGCCAGCGTTGTGGGTTCAATTCCCACGGGGGGCCAGTATAAAAAAATATGTATTCACTAACTGTAAGTCGCTCTGGATAAGAGCGTCTGCTAAATGACTGTAAATGTAAAAATACTAATGTCTGCAATGCAATTTTAACAGGCTAATTTGTGGATTCTGGTATCCATGAACGTTGCTAAAGAATGACTTGTTACAGAGAGTCACAAAATAGACCTAACAAAGTACTCATTCCCATTTCCAGTTCTCATTACCTCTTTCTAGTCTCACACAGTGGTGGAAAAAGTACCCAACTGTCATACTTTAGTATAAGTAAAGAGACCTTAACAGAAAATGACTCAAGTAAAAGTGAAAGTCACCCAGTAAAATACTGCTTGAGTAAAAATCTAAAAGTATTTGATTTTAAATATACTTGTATCAAAAGTAAATGTCATTTTTTTTAAATACGTAAGTATCAAAAGTAAAAATAAAAGTAGAAATCATTTCAAATTCCTTATACAGTGCCTTCGGAAAGTATTCACACCTGTTTTGTTACATTACAGCCTTATTCTAAAATTGATTAAATTATTGTTTTCCCCTCATCACTCTACACACTATACCCCATAATGACAAAGCAAAAACAAGTTTTTAGAAATGTTTGCAAATGTGTCAAAAATACATAAATAAAATATCACATTTACATAAGTATTCAGACCCTTTACTCAGTACTTTGTTGAAGCACCTTTTGCAGCGATTACAGCCTCAAGTCTTCTTGGGTATGACGCTACGAGCGTGGCACACCTGTATTTGGGGAGTTTCTCCCATTCTTCTCTGCAGATTCTCTCAAGCTCTGTCAGGTTGGATGGGGAGCGTTGCTGCATAGCTATTTTCAGGTCTCTCCACAGATGTTCGACCGGGTTCAAGTCCGGGCTCTGGCTGGGCCACTCAAGGACATTCAGAGACCTGTCCTGAAGCCACTCCTGCGTTGTCTTGGCTGTGTGCTTAGGGTTGTTGTCCTGTTGGAAGGTAAACCTTCACCCCAGTCTGAGGTCCTGAGGGCTCTGGAGCTGGTTTTCATCAAGGATCTCTCTGTACTTTGCTCCGTTCAGCTTTTCCCCGATCCTGACTAGTCTCCCTGTCCCTGCAGCTGAAAAACATCCCCACAGAAAGATTCTGCCACCACCATGCTTCACCGTAGGGATGGTGCCAGGTTTCCTCCAGACGTGACGCTTGGCATTCAGGCCAAAGAGTTCAATCTTGGTTTCATCAGACCAGAGAATCTTGTTTCTCATGGTCTGAGAGTCTTTAGGTGCCTTTTGACAAACTCCAAGCGGGCTGTCATGTGCCTTTTACTGAGATGTGGCTTCCGTCTGGACACTCTACCATAAAGGCCTGATTGGTGGAGTGCTGCAGAGATGGTTGTCCTTCTAGAAAGTTCTCCCATCTCCACAGAGTAACTCTAGAGCTCTGTCAGAGTGACCATCTTGTTCTTGGTCAGTTTGGCCAGGTGGCCATTTCTAGGAAGAATCTTGGTGGTTCCAAACTTCTTGCATTTAAGAATGATGGATGCTACTGTGTTTTCGGGGACCTTCAATGCCTCAGACATTTTTTGGTACCCTTCCTCAGATCTGTGCCTCGACACAATCCTGTCTCGGAGCTCTACAGACAATTCCTTCGACCTCATGGCTTGGTTTTTGCTCTGACATGCACTGTCAACTCTGGGACCTTATATAGACAGGTGTGCCTTTCCAAATCATGTCCAATCAATTGAATTTACCACAGGTGGACTCCAATCAAGTTGTAGAAACATCTCAAGTGTGATCATGGGAACAGGATGCATCTGAGTTCAATTTCGAGTCTCGTCGCAAAGGGTCTGAATACTTATGTAAATAAGGTATTTCTGTATTAATATTTTAATAAATTAGCAAAAAAATATAAAAACTTGTTTTCACTTTGTCATAATGGGGTATTGTGTGTAGATTGATGAGGAAGGGAATTTATTTATTCAATTTTAGAATAAGGCTGTAATGTGGAAAAAGTTAAGGGGTGTGAATATTTTCCGAATGCACTGTATACATAACCATCCGGCTTTACAAATGGTGTAAATACCACAACAGCATATATTTAAAGTTGTTTATAAATGTGTCAATAACTATCTCTGTATAGCTTACTAACATTTACAAATGTAGCAATAACAATTCATAGATGGTGAGCAAAGTTATATATAAAAAAATTTTTTACTGGACATTATTATAAGGCGTTATCCATTTAGAAATGGGGACTTCAGTAAATATGTGTTTAATTGTAACGTTTTGGTTGTCTGTGTTTCTCCTCAACAGCTCATCAAATGGTGTTGTATTCATTGGCAGGTAAGTGTTAATTTACACTGAATGAAAATATAAACGCAACATGCAACAATTTCAAAGATTTTATTGAGTTACAGTTCATATAAGGAAATCAGTTAATTGAAATACATTAATTAGGCCCTAGTCTATGAATTTCACATGACTGGAAATACAAATATGCATCTGTTGGCCACAGATACCCTAAAAATAAAAGGTAGGGGCGTGGATCAGAAAACCAGTCAGTATCTGATGTGACCACCACTTGCCTCATGCAGCGCGACACATCTCCTTCACATAGAATTGATCAGGCTGTTGATTGTGGCCTGTGGAATGTGGTCCCACTCCTCTTCAGTGGCTGTGCGAAGTTGCTGGATATTGGCAGGAAATGGAACACGCTACCGTACACGTCGATTCAGAGCATCCCAAACATGCTCAATGGGTGACATGTCTGGTGAGTATGCAGGCCATGGAAGAACTGGGAAATGTTCAGCTTCCAGGAATTGTGTACAGAGCCTTGCGACATGGGGTCGTGCATTATCGTGCTGAAAGATGAGGTGATGGCGGCGGATGAATGGCACGACAATGGGCCTGACGATTTCGTTACGGTATCTCTGTGCATTCAAATTGCCATCGATAAAATGCTATTTTGTTCGTTGTCCGTAGCTTATGCCTGCCCATACCTTAACCCCACCGCCACCATGGGGCACTCTGTTCACAACGTTGACATCAGGAAACCGCTCGCCCACCCGACGCCATAAACGCTGTCTGCCAACTTCCTGGTACAGTTGAAACCGGGATTCATCTGTGAAGAGCACACTTCTCCCATGTGCCAGGGGCCATGGAAGGTGAGCATTTGCCCACTGAAGTCGGTTACGACGCCGATCTGCAGTCAGGTCAAGAACCTGGTGAGGACGACGAGCACTCAGATAAGCTTCCCTGTGACGGTTTCTGACAGTTTGTGCAGCAATTATTTGGTTGTGCAAACCCAGTTTCATCAGCTGTCTGGGTGGCTGGTTTCAGACGATCCCGCTGGTGAAGAAGCCGGATGTGGCGGTTCTGGGCTGGCGTGATTACACGTGGTCTGCGGTTGTGAGGCCGGTTGGCCGTACTGCCAAATTCTCTAAAACGAAGTATGGTGACATTCCTGCAGTCAGCATGCCAATTGCACACTCCCTCAAAACTTGAGGCATCTGTGGCGTTGTGTTGTGTGACAAAACTGCACATTTTAGAGTGGTCTTTTATTGTCCCCAGCACAAGGTACATCTGTGTAATGATCATGCTGTGTAATCAGCTTCTTGATCTGCCACACTTGTCATGTGGATGGATTATCTTGGTAAAGGAGAAATGCTCACTAACAGGGATGTAAACAAATGTGTGCAAAACATTTGAGAGAAATAAGCTTTTTGTGTGCATGGAACATTTCTGGGATCTTTTAGTTCAGCTCATGAAACATGGGACCAACATATTACATTTTGCTTTTATATTTTTGTTCAGTGTACATGTGAACACAAGTCCCAAAAAGGTTTAAAGTAGCATATTTGAATATCATTTAAATACATTTAAAAGTACACATATGTCACGGTTTCGGCCGAGGCTGCCTCTCTTCCTTGCTTGGGCAGGCTTCGGCGTTCGTCGTCTCCGGAATACTAGCTGCCACCGTTGCATGTTTCTATGTTCGTTTGCTTTTGTCTGATTGTTGTTACACCTGTTATCGTTTGGTGTAATTAGTGTCCTATAAGTTCTCGTTGTGTTTGTCTAGTGTTGTGTGTGATTGTTTTACTGTCGTGCGTTTTGCTGGACGTAATACTGTTTGCTCGGTTGAGCTGTTCTCCATTGTGTTGGAGTGCTTTGTCGCACCTGTGTAGTGCGCCCGTTTTGTTTTCGCCTGCGTGCGGGGTTTCGCCTTCGGGCTAGTTTGTGCGTTTCTCTTGTGGATATTTCACTAAAGTCTTTGGACTGTACTTCTGCGTCCTGCGCCTGATTCCACCACTACACCCACCTACAGCATCACTGACAGAATCACACACCACTCAAATGGAATCAGCAGGAGCCGCAGCAGCACAGGCGACGCTGGAGGACAGGGTCCGCGAGCAGAATGACCAGATCCTGCGGATGGGGTCCGCCCTGCAGGAGGTGATCACCACCATCCGAGGCTGGGAGACCCGAGGGACACCTCCACCGCCATCTTCCCTGCCCTCACCATCGGCAAGTCAGCCCATTCCCGCTCCGGAACCCAGAGGAGTTCGACTCTCGCTCCCGAGGGCCTACGATGGGACCGCTGCCGGGTGTCAGGGATTCCTTCTCCAGGTGGAGCTTTACCTGGCCACCGTGCACCCGGCGCCCTCGGGACTGATCCGGGACTCACCCGGCGTCCGCCCTGATCTCCTGCCTTTCCGGCAAGGCGTTGGAATGGGCCAACGCAGAGTGGAGGAGAATAGACGCTACGACCATCACGTACGACGAGTTCTCCCGCCGCTTCAGGGCGGTGTTTGACCATCCCCCGGAGGGGAAAGCGGCGGGGGAGCGTCTGTTCTGCCTCCGGCAGGGGAAGAGGAGTGCCCAGGAGTTCGCCTTGGAATTCCGTACTCTAGCGGCGGATGCAGGGTGGAATGAGCGGGCCCTCATCGATCACTACCGATGTAGTCTACGTGAGGACGTCCGTAGGGAGCTGGCCTGTAGGGACACCAGCCTCTCGTTCGACCAGTTGGTCGACATGTCCATCAGGCTGGATACCCTGCTAGCTACCCGCGGACGTCCCGAGGGGGGTCCGTCCATTTCCCCCTCCAGCGCCTCCGAGCCGTGCCCCATGGAGCTCGGGGGCACTGGCGCTAGAGAGAGGAGGGGTCGGATTACGAGGGGGTCCATCTCCTGCACCAACTGTGGTCGGGAAGGACACACCGCGGTTAGGTGCTGGGGATGGCCTCCTAGGGGAGAAGACGACAGGTCCCGCACTGGGGAGTCCTTCCAGGTGAGTAGGCGCCCCACTCACCCAGAGCTCTCTGTTGCACACTTCTGTATACCTGTGAGTTTTCCACAGGTAGCACCTCATTCCCAGCATAAGGCGCTGGTAGATTCAGGCGCGGCTGGGAATTTTGTTGATAAGAAATTTTGTTTAGCCTTAGGGATTCCCCTTCTCCCTGTTGACGTCCCCTTCCCCGTTCATGCCCTAGATAGCCGTCCGTTGGGTGCGGGCTTGATCAGGGAGGTCACGGCGCCACTTAGGATGTGTGCGCAGGGGGGTCATCAGGAGATGATCCAGCTATTTCTGATCGACTCGCCTGCGTATCCGGTGGTGCTGGGCATGCCCTGGTTGAGTACCCATAACCCATCTATTTCGTGGCAGGAGAGGGCTCTGATGGAGTGGTCTGCCCAGTGTGTGGGTCGATGTTTAGGCGTTTCCGTAGGGGCTACCTCGGTGGAGAGTCCAAACCAGGTGCCCACATTGCACGTTCCCCCTGAGTATGGGGATTTGGCTATTGTGTGCAGTAAGTCGAAGGCGACGCAGTTGCCTCCCCATAGGCAGGGAGATTGTGCGATAGACCTCCAGGCAGGAGCTGCGCTCCCACGGAGCCATGTGTATCCTCTGTCTCAGGAGGAGAATAGAGCTATGGAGACTTACATAGACGAATCTCTGAGACAAGGATACATACGGCCCTCCACTTCCCCTGCGTCCTCGAGTTTATTTTTTGTGAAGAAAAAGGATGGTGGGTTACGCCCGTGCATTGATTACCGTGGTCTCAATCAGATCACGGTGAAGTACAGTTATCCACTCCCGCTGATTGCGACCATGACGGAGTCATTGCACGGGGCGCGTTTCTTCACTAAATTAGATCTCAGGAGCGCGTACAACTTGGTGCGCATTAGGGGGGGCGATGAATGGAAGACAGCCTTTAGTACCACCTCGGGCCATTACGAGTATCTTGTCATGCCATACGGGTTGATGAACGCTCCTTCAGTTTTCCAATCATTAGTGGATGAGATCTTCAGGGACATGCAGGGGCAGGGGGTGGTCGTGTACATAGATGACATTCTCGTGTACTCGCCTACCCGAGTCGAGCATGTGGCCCTGGTGCGCCGAGTGTTGCGGAGGCTGTTGGAGCACGACCTGTATGTCAAGGCAGAGAAGTGTCTGTTTTTCCAGGAGTCGGTCTCCTTTTTGGGTTATCAGTTGTCTGCGTCAGGGGTGAAGATGGAGGTAGACCGGGTGTCAGCCGTGCGTAATTGGCAAATGCCAACCACTGTGAAGGAGGTGCAGCAATTTTTGGGGTTTGCGAATTACTACCGGAGGTTTATCCGGGGTTTTGGACAGGTGGCAGCTCCCATAACGTCTCTTTTGAAGGGGGGTCCGGTGCGTCTGCAGTGGTCAGCCGAGGCGGACAGGGCGTTTGGGAGGCTGAAGGACCTGTTTACCTCGGCCCCGGTGCTGGCACATCCGGATCCCTCTTCACCATTTCAGGTAGAGGTGGACGCGTCATAGGCCGGTATAGGAGCCGTGCTTTCGCAACGGTCCGGCGCGCCACCTAAACTCCGCCCCTGTGCTTTTTATTCCAAGAAGCTCAGTCCGGCGGAGCGAAACTATGACGTAGGGGACAGGGAGCTGTTAGCCGTGGTACAGGCCCTAAAGGTGTGGAGGCACTGGCTTGAGGGGGCTCAACACCCTTTCCTCATTTTGACGGACCACCGTAACCTGGAGTACATCCGGGCAGCGAGGAGGCTGAACCCTCGCCAGGCGAGGTGGAATATATTTTTGACCCGGTTCACATTTAAGATCACGTACATCCCTGGGTCACAGAACGGTAAGGCAGACGCACTGTCTCGGCGGTATGACACGGAGGAGAGGTCCGTGGAGCCCACTCCCATACTGCCGGAGTCTTGTCTGGTGGCACCGGTAGTGTGGGAGGTCGATGCTGAACTCGAGCGGGCGTTACGCACCGACCCTAGTCCACCTCAATGCCCGGAGGGTCGGAAGTACGTTCCGCTCGAGGTTCGGGATCGATTGATCTATTGGGCTCACACGTCACCCTCCTCTGGACACCCTGGTATCGGCCGGACAGTGCACTGTCTTAGTGCCAAGTACTGGTGGCCCACGTTGGCGAGGGATGTGAGGGTTTATGTTTCCTCCTGCTCGGTGTGCGCCCAGTGTAAGGCGCCTAGACATCTGCCTAGGGGTAAGTTACTACCCCTGCCCGTTCCACAACGACCATGGTCTCACCTCTCGGTGGATTTCCTCACTGACCTTCCTCCTTCACAGGGGAATACCACTATACTGGTCGTTGTGGACCGGTTTTCTAAGGCCTGTCGTTTGCTCCCTATGCCGGGCCTTCCTACTGCCCTGCAAACTGCCGAAGCACTATTCACCCATGTGTTCCGGCACTACGGGGTACCCGAGGATATTGTGTCTGATCGAGGTCCCCAATTTACCTCCAGAGTCTGGAGAGCTTTTATGGAGCGGTTGGGGGTCTCGGTGAGCCTCACCTCGGGTTACCACCCGGAGAGTAATGGGCAGGTGGAACGTGTGAACCAGGATGTGGGTAGGTTTCTTACAACATACTGCCAGGACCGGCCGGAGGAGTGGGCAAGGTACGTTCCTTGGGCCGAAATGGCCCAGAATTCCCTACGCCATTCCTCCACTAACCTAACCCCTTTCCAATGTGTGTTAGGTTACCAGCCGGTTCTGGCACCTTGGCAGCAGAGCCAGATCGAGGCTCCTGCGGTGGATGAGTGGGTGCGGCGCTCGGAGGAGACATGGAACGCTGCACACGTCCACCTACAGCGGGCCCTCCGTCGTCATAAGGCGAGCGCCGATCTCCACCGCAGTGAGGGACCGGTGTACGCACCTGGTGATCGAGTCTGGCTCTCTACCAGAAACCTGCCCCTCCGCCTGCCCTGTCGGAAACTGGGTCGGCGGTTTGTAGGGCCATTTAAAGTCCTGAGAAGATTGAACGAGGTGTGTTACAAATTACAACTACCTGTTGAGTATAAAAGTATTAACCCCTCGTTCCATGTGTCTCTTCTCAGGCCGGTGGTAGCTGGCCCACTCCAAGAAAGTGAGATCAGGGAGACTCCTCCGCCCCCATTGGACATCGAGGGGGCACCGGCGTACTCCGTGCGGTCCATCTTGGATTCGAGACGTCGAATGGGGGGTCTCCAATATCTAGTGGAGTGGGAGGGGTACGGCCCGGAGGAACGGTGCTGGGTGCCGAGGAGAGACATTTTGGACCCGTCTCTCCTGACGGAATTCCATCGTGGGCACCCGACGCACCCTGCTCCGCGTCCTCCTGGTCGTCCCCGAGGCCGGAGTCGGCGCACGTCTGGAGCCGCGCGTCAAGGGGGGGGTACTGTCACGGTTTCGGCCGAGGCTGCCTCTCTTTCTTGCTCGGGCAGGCTTCGGCGTTCGTCGTCTCCGGAATACTAGCTGCCACCGTTGCATGTTTCTATGTTCGTTTGCTTTTGTCTGATTGTTGTTACACCTGTTATCGTTTAGTGTAATTAGTGTCCTATAATGATTGTTTTACTGTCGTGCGTTTTGCTGGACGTATTACTGTTTGCTCGGTTGAGCTGTTCTCCATTGTGTTGGAGTGCTTTGTCGCACCTGTGTAGTGCGCCCGTTTTGTTTTCGCCTGCGTGCGGAGTTTTGCCTTCGGGCTAGTTTGTGCGTTTCTCTTGTGGATATTTCACTAAAGTCTTTGGACTGTACTTCTGCGTCCTGCGCCTGATTCCACCACCACACCCACCTACAGCATCACTGACAACATAAAGCAAGTCCAAAAACGTTAATTAACACGTTTGTAACAAAACTTTGAATACAACAGCTTTGACCACAATTACAGTGTTCAATTGCTTATTTGATTATTGATTATTATTAATACATTTTCTTATCATCTCTTTTCCTCTTTGTTAGCTGGTGAAGACATCAGGCTGGTCAATGGCACTAGTCGCTGCTCGGGGACAGTAGAGATCCTTTATAAGGGCCAGTGGGGAAGAGTGTGTGGTCAGAAGTGGGACGTAAACGATGCCAATGTGGTGTGTGGCCAGCTGGGCTGTGGGAGGGCTGTGAGTGCCCAAGGTACTGCCCACGTAGGTCAGGGTAGTGGTGGCAGACCTACTTGGCTGGATGATGTTGGGTGTGACGGCAGTGAGAGCTCCCTGACAGAATGCTCACATGGAGGATTGAAACACCATGACTGTTTACAAGTTCAAGATGCCAGTGTTATCTGCTCAGGTAAGAAAAGTCCCTCTGTGTTGCTATTGTGGTTGATAGAAGTCGAAATACCTTGATTATACTTGTGTCAACTTGGCATTGATTTTGTTGAATATGATACTGAAAGGCTTCTATTTCCTCAATTTTTTCTTTCATTCCTAGTCAAACCTAACATCAGACTGGCCAATGGGAGTGACCTCTGCTCTGGGAGGGTGGAGGTCTATCAAATTGGTCAGTGGCTAACCGTGTGTGATGACGTGTGGGACTTGAATGACGCTGCTGTGGTGTGTAGACAACTGGGCTGTGGGAGAGCTGATAGTGCCCCAGAGAAGGCCTACTTTGGTCAGGGCAGTGGGCCCATCTGGCAGGATGATGTTGGCTGCTCTGTCAGTGAGTGCTCCATCACACAGTGCCCACACACAGGAGGAGGAACACATGAATGTAATCATGGTAACGACGCAGGTGTTATTTGTTCAGGTAAGGGAGTCTCTTTGCCTTGTCTAGACTAGAGTTTTATCAGGATTAGGTTTGAATGGTTTGAATTGTGCAAAAAGGTCTTATCATAGAGAAAATCCTAAAAAGCATATTACTGCAGTATTATAGCCTGCTCTGCCACCTAGTGGAGAGTTGACCATTGCAGAAAGAATCTTAACCCAGGCCAGATTTGGTGCTATGTGACCAGATGGGGGCAGCCTAGAACAGAGCATGTGGCCAATACAGTATGAATACCATCAGATGCAGTCCCTTCAGAAAGTATTCACACCCCCCTGGACTTATTCCACATTGTTGTGTTACAGCCTGAATTAAAAATGGATTAAATAGATTTTTTCTCTCACCCATCTACAATACCCCATAATGACAAAAGGAAAACATGTTTTTAGAAATGTTTACAAAATATAATAAATGTAATACAGAAATATCTCATTTACATAAGTAAATTCCTGAGTTAATACATGTTAGAATAACCCTTGGCAGCGATTACAACTGTGAGTCTTTCTGCGTAAGTCTCGAGGAGCTTTGCATACCTGGATTGTACAATTCAAGCTCTGTCAAATTGGTTGTTGATCATTGCTAGACAGGCATTTTCTAGTCTTGGCATAGATTTTCAAGCCGATATAAGTCAAAACTGTAACTAGGCCACTCAGGAACATTCAATGGTGTCTTGGTAAGCAACTCCAGTATAGATTTGTCATTGTGTTTTATGTTGTTGTCCTGCTGAAAGGTGAATGAATCTCCCAGTGTCTGGTGGAAAGCAGAGTGAACCAGGTTTCCTAAAAAAAAAACTCCCTAGTCCTTGCTGATGACAAGCATACTCATAACACACAGGAGGTTGGTGGCACCTGAATTGGGGAGGACTTGCTTGTTGTAATGGGAGGACGGACCCATGTGTTTGATGCCATTCCATTCGCTTGGTTCCAGACATTATAATGAGCTGTCCTCCCCTCAGCAGCCTCCACTACCATAACTTGATGAAGCCAGTGATACTCAGTGATGTGTTGTGTTGGATTTGCCCCAAACATAACACTTTGTATTCAGGACATAAAGTTAATTTATTTGCCAATTTTTTTGCTGTTTTACTTTAGTGCCGTATTGCAAACAGGATGCATGTTTTGGAATATTTGTATTCTGTACATGCTTCCTTCTTTTCACTCTGTCATTTAGGTTAGTATTGTGGAGTAACTACAATGTTGTTGATCCATTCTCAGCTTTCTCCTATCACAGCCATAAACAATGTAACTGTTTTAAAGTCACCATTGGCCTCATGGTGAAATCCTTGAGCGGTTCCCTTCCACCTCGCCCATCTACCAATAGGTGCCCTTCTTTGCGAGGCATTGGAAAACCTCCCTGGTCTTTGTGGTTGAATCTGTGTTTGAAATTCACTGGGGGACCTTACAGATAATTGTATGTGTGGGGTACAGAGATTAAGTAGTCATTCAAAACTCATGTTAAACACTATTATTGTACACAGAGCCCATGCAACTTATTATGTGACTTTGTTAAGCACATTTTTACTACTGAACTTATTTAGGCTTGCCAAAACAAAGGGGTTGAATACTTATTCACTCAAGACATTTCAGCTTTTCATTTTTTATTAATTAGTAAAAAATTCTAAAAGCATAATTACGCGGTATTGTTTCTAGGTCAATGGCACAAAATGTCAATTTTAATCCATTTTAAAATCAGGCTGTAACACAATTAAATGTGGAAAAAGTCAAGGAGTGTGAATACTTTCTCAAGGCACCCCAGGTTGTGATTTCTGTTGCCTGACTAAACTACATGTCTTTGACCAACAGGTGTTGTCTTGCAGAAGCCTTCACTCTCCACAGACCCATCCAATTCTGCCTTCTTGCATGGAGAGGAGATCCAACTCACCTGCACTCTTCCATCCCGTATCCTCTGTAATGCTGTTGAATTCCGCTTCTATCTGAATGGAGACTCCATCATGAATGTGACTGTTGGATCCTCACAGCCCAGGGCTACTTTAACAAAGTTTAAGATGGATGCTTCACACCAGGGCAGTTACCGCTGTCTCTACAGAACCCTCTCCAACGGCCAAGCCATCAACTCCCCTTACAGCAACGTTACTAAAGGTGAGGTGGTAGTTCGGAAACAAGTGTTGCCTAATCTATATCGATCAGTGGAGGCTGGTGGGAGGAGCTATAGAAGGACGGGCTCATTATCATAGCTGGAATGGAATACATGGAATGGTATCAAACACATCAAACATATGGAAACAACGTTTGATTACGTTCCATTGATTCCATTCCAGCTATTATAATGAGCCCGTCCTCCTGTAGCTCCTGCCACCAGCTCCTCCCACCAGCCTCCACTGATATCTATATATTTAAGATTCATAGCCTTGATAGAGACGGGAGACTGACTACCTTGTCCATCACACACACATTTCTCAGTTACAAGGTGTGAATATGGAATGACATTACTGTCAAATTGCTGTTTACTTTCTTTCCAGTGGTCCTGCTACAGCCCAACATCTCTCTCAGTCCTCCAAATGAAGGGATGTTTTGGGAACCTCAGGGGCCAGAGGTGATCAGGGGCCACAGCTTCTCCATCACCTGCTCCATTCAGCCACAGTATCCTGGAGGCCTCTTCTATCTGGACTTCTCTGGGTCCAACAGAACTGAGACTACGCCTGCAGTCAACCACTCTGCCTCCTTCCACTTCCCTGTTGCAGAGCATAAAGACCAGGGGAAATACAGCTGCAGCTATGGAGTCAACGTCTCCAACCGGTCATTCAGGTCGGCTAATAATGAACTAGCTGTCACCATTAGAGGTAAAATAACACATGCTTTAAAAAAAGTTATTAAAAATTGCTTTTACGTGATATTCACCCAAAGAGAGAACAATCTTAGTATTGTAACATGACTTATCATCCTTCATATCACATTTTTGTTTGTTTTTATATTATATGAATTTGCCATCTACAAGTCTTGATCTGTAGGTCTCAGCCTTGAAATACCTACCTTTTCCTCAGCGTCCATGGTCCCCATCATTGTTTCTGGAGGGACTGGTGGGGTAGCACTGCTGTTTCTGCTTCTGCTTGTCATCTGTCTAGTCAGCTGGAGGACAAGGAGGAACAGAAAGCCATCTACAGAGACTGACCAGAGAGAATGTAAGTGATATCACTATACTGTAAACTCAAATTCTGAATCTGAACTTGATTTACACCTTGAGCTTGAAAAGTTAAGCTAAGCAGCATCTCAAAATCGGCCTAAAGACTTTTGTTGATACATAATTTAGAGTTTGCTGTTGCACATATTCAAGAGCAAACTGTTATGCAACAGGTATTGACAACAGACACAACAGAGGGGAGGAAAACGAAGAGGAAGAGGACTATGTAAATGTTGAAAACGTATTTTACGAGAGAAGTCTGGAGAGAGTCACGGGTGAAAAGAAGAATGGGAAGGAAAAAGGGCACAGCTATGGGAAATCAGAGGATGTCTATGACAACGAGGAGGGAAACATTCAAAGAAAGGATGTTTGTGGGGGGTCTCATGAGAAAATGAACAGTGAAGACAAGGAAGAAGATTACGTTAATGTCTCTGCCTATGATAATGCTGTAGCACGTGACGTGAATGAAGACATTTATCAAAACCTTTAGGAAAAGTAACAGTGGACTGTATGCAACCTGTCAATAAAGTGTATGCAACCATCAACACATTGATTTGGTCCTTCGTGACATGTAAATGTATTTAAATAGTACTAATTCAGATGCAATAGTGACAACTACAGTTGCTATAGTTGACACTTAAACTCAAACATATACAAGTAGACATATGAAATAATCATATAATAATATAATATGCCATTTAGCAGACGCTTTTATCCAAAGCGACTTACAGTCATATATGGTATTGCTTTATTTTATTTTGCCTTTTCAATCAATCAATCAATTTTATTTTATATAGCCCTTCTTACATCAGCTAATATCTCGAAGTGCTGTACAGAAACCCAGCCTAAAACCCCAAACAGCTAGTAATGCAGGTGTAGAAGCACCTGTAACCAATCAAAATGTTCAGCATATTTGATGCATTGGGTCAAAGTCCAAACTGTAGTTTTTGTATGCATTGGTGGGGTGTCACTTTTTGTGTCTTTGATCAGTTCCAGTGTTGTTGAGGAGCTAGCATTATGTGTCAAACTGTTGGGTGATTGCACTGAACTGAACTGAATCCTCAGTGCATGTTTTGGAGTTCCGCTTTTATGTCTCTACTTCTTCTTAGAAGAGGAGTAGAAGGTGTTCAACCAAGTGAGACGAGGTCCAACCATTAAAATAATATGAGCATTGGGAAGAAAAAGGTGTGACTCTCGACTCACTACTTTGGGCCTTTGCCTTCCTAATCCACTTCCTTAGGTCAAGACCATCAAGCTATGCTCTCGCTTTTGATTCTCCCTGGTTTGTCTATCAATCATACAGGGTACATGGGCTTCACTGGCAACAAAACGGTCTACCCTAGATACAACAGCACAAATGAGGAAGTGACAGAGGAGCTGTGCACAGGAAATGCGTCCTCATATACAGTAACATCTTACATTCACTAGACAGTCTGCGACAGAGACTGGTCATCACTCTTTCACCAGAAAGCTTGTTCAGTTCTACAAGAGAAAATACCTTTATTTCTGATATGAAGATACAAATATTGAGAAGTCTCCTCTATCTGACAATGGGTGAGTTTAACTTCCAAAACGTCCAATTTAATTTCATATCTGTCAGCAAAGGGAGAACACTGCTTTGCTTGAAATTAATATGTTTTTAACGGCTGCATATTGGATACAAGTACTCAGGGATGAATCCTACATTCAGTTGAGAGAAATGTGTATCAAATGTTCATGTCAATCTAAATCAATGTCAACGGGAGATTTGCTTGAACCTTTAAAGTTTCAAAACTTTGAATCTCAAGTAAAGATTTGAGTCTCTGTCAGTAATGGGGAAGAATGAATAGAGTAATCTGTCCAGACTATCATAAATCGCCAGCCAGTAGTCAAATAACCTATCAATGTTTAGTAAAGGGGTTGATTTTCTCAAGCATATCATTGACTAAGAAGGAAAGACTGACTTCTACTAGATATATTTATATTATATTTATATTAATATATTTATTTATAGATAATTGATACAGGCAGTTAATTTAATATTGATTTTATATACAAACACATTTTAGAATATGTTTTAATACATTTAAATTCCGAATCCAAATATCCATCCAATACAATTTTAAATAATGACATCTAATGTGGTCAGTAATTAGCGGTCAAATAAATGAAGCATAGATTGGTAATTTTTTAGAAATACATTTGCACACAGAAACTAGAGGCCATGAGTTACTTGATCAAAAAGAATGGCATCGATGGCACCGATTGCCCTATGGGGGCGCTGTTATAAGCAGTCTCACTTAAACCCTAATATCCATCACCCCGTTTGACCTAGAGACTTGAAACTGTATGTAGGTGTCTGTCCTCATGCTGAACAAATTTGCCTCAAGGACCCATAAGGTCCATCAGGATAGATTTTCCTCCACCTTGGAAATGTTGGAAAACCTTTGAAAAATGTATTCTCATGAACCATAAATCCAAATAACACAAATAGTACCATGGTACATCTCTTAACTTAGTTTTAGAAAAGCTAAGGAATGAGATGACTGAGTTACTGATCAATCACAAAATCCATTTAAATCCTTGGCAAATCCAGTCCACAATGGCATATCAACTTCCCCAGAGTCAGATGAACTCGTGGACACCATTTATGTCCAGTATGAAGGAAGTTGGAGGTAGTTTTGTGAGCCAATGCTAACTAGCGTTAGCGCAATGACTGGAAGTGTATTGGTATCTGCTAGCATGCTAGCAGCAATGACTGGAAGTCTATGGGTATTTGCTAGCTTTTTTACCCTTTAGTGTGTTTACTTGACTGTATTTATACTTGGGATATTGCTTTTCAACAGTAAAAGTTTTTTAAAACACTGGAGGACGTCTTTAAGAATGATTACCTGGGGCCTCCCGAGTGGCGCAGCGGTCTAAGGCACTGCTACGCAGTGCTAGAGGCATCACCCAGGTTCGAGCCCAGGCTGTGTTGTAGCCGGCCGCGACCGGGAGACCCATGAGACAGCGCACATTTGGCCCAGCGTCGTCCAGGTTCTAAAAAATTCTAAAATAAAAGAATGATTACCTGCTGCATTCAAAGATAACCAACCTACAGCACTAGACTAAACATCACTTGCGTCATCCTTATAGTACTGAAAGATGGTTAAGCCTTCACTGATTGCACATAAGGGAAGTGTTTGCTTTGTTATCCAACTGATGTTGTGTCCTTTCTGTCATCCTGTGAACCCCGTTCATTGCTGCTCGCAGCTATATTTACATTTGTGCAATACAAATTCAAAACGATTGATTTCAAGAATTGGTCTGAGAATGTTCTACAGTGCATTCGGAAAGTATTCAGACCCCTTGACTTTTTCCACATTTTGCTACGTTACAGCCTTATTCTAAAATCTCATCAATAAAAATCTGCACACAATACCCTATAATGACAAAGCAAAACCAGGTTTAAAAAAAAACGGAAATATCACATTTACATAAGTATTTAGACCCTTTACTCAGTACTTTGTTGAAGCACCTTTGGCAGCGATTACAGCCTGGAGTCTTCTTGGGTACAACGCTACAAGCTTGGCACACCTGAATTTGGGGAGTTTCTCCCATTCTTCTCTGCAGATCCTCTCAAGTTCTGTCAGGTTGGATGGGGAGCTTCTCTGCACAGCTATTTTCAGATCTCTCCAGAAATGTTGAATTGGGTTCAAGTCCGGGCTCTGGCTGGGCCACTCAAAGACATTCAGAGACTTGTCCCGAAGCCCCTCCTGCGTTGTCTTGGCTGTGTGCTTAGGGTCGTTGGAAGGTGAACCTTCATCCCTATCTGAGGTCCTGAGCGCTCTGGAGCAGGTTTTCATCAAGGATCTCTCTGCACTTTGTTCCGTTCATCTATCCCTCAATCCTGACTTGTCTCCCAGTCCCTGCCACTGAAAAACATCCCCACAGCATGATGCTGCCACCACCATACTTCACGGTAGGGATGGTGCCAGGTTTCCTCCAGACGTGACGCTTGGCATTCAGGATCAAAGAGTTCAATCATGGTTTCATCAGACCAGAGAATCTTGTTTCTCATGGTCTGAGAGTCCTTTAGGTGTCTTTTGACAAACTCCTAGCGGACTGTCATGTGCCTTTTACTGAGGACTGGCTTCCGTCTGGCCACTCTACCATAAAGGCCTGATTGGTGGAGATCTGCATAGATGGTTGTCCTTCTGGAAGATTCTCCCATCTCAACAGAGGAACTCTGGAGCTCTGTCAGAGTGATATCGGGTTTTTGGTCACCTCCCTGACCAAGGCCCTTCTTCCCCAATTGCTCAGTTTGGCCGGGCAACTAGCTCTAGGAAGAGTCTTGGTGGTTCCAAACTTCTTCACTTTAAGAATAATGGAGGCCACTGTGTTCTAGGGGACCTTCAATGCTGCAGACATTTTTTGATACCCTTCCCCAGATCTGTGCCTCGACACAATCCTGTCTCGGAGATCTACTGACAATTCCTTCAACGTCATGGCTTGTTTTTTGCTCTGACATGCACTGTCAACTCTGGGACCTTATATAGACAGGTGTGTGCCTTTCCAAATCCTGTCAATCAATTGAATTTACCACAGGTGGACTCCAATCAAGTTGTAGAAACATCACAAGGATGATCAATGGAAACAGGATGCACCTGAGTTCAATTTCGAGACTCATAGCAAAGGGTCTGAATACTTATGTAAATAAGGTGTTTCTGTTTTTATTTTTTAATAAATGTGAAAACATTTCTTTAAACCTGTTTTCGCCTTGTTATTATGGGGTATTGTGTAGATTGATGAGGATTTTTTTTATTTATTTAATCAGTTTTAGAATAAGGCTGTAACGTAGCAAAATGTGGAAAAAGTCAAGGGGTCTGAATACTTTCCGAATGCACTGTATATCAAAGGCAGATATTTAATTAACATTGTACAATGAATGGATTCACATACTAGCCATAAACCTTAAGTTGCAATCATTAACAAGCATTGCAAAGCATACTTCTAGACAAAGCATGGACAAAGAGATGCCTTGTAGGCCAGAAGCCTAGAAACCTAGGAAATGAGAATTTATCATACAACATTCCTCCATGGATAGGATACAGGATAAGAGAGAGAACAAAGGCACCTTCTCAACCCAAAACCAACCACCATTGACCAATCAAACGATACCAAGTTGACAGTAACCTAAACACTCCCAGGTCCAATCTCCACAGGGTGTCACAGCATTTAAAGGTGTGTGTGGGGGGTGAGACCAATGTAAATAAGACAGAATTCCTGAGAAGACAATACATTTTACATTTGAGTCATTTAGCAGACGCTCTTATCCAGAGCGACTTACAGTTAGCGAGTGCATACATTTTTCATACTGGCCCCCCGTGGAAAACAAACCCACAACCCTGGCGTTGCAAGCGCCATGCTCTACCAACTGAGCTACAGGGGAATAAAACATAATAATTCAGAGTTCACACTGTACAGATACAAGTTACCACAGAGATCATACATCCATATAGATAGCGTCAGAGTTATCCTCAGTCAACAGGTTTCAGATAGATACCAGACATGGATAACATAGTATTATTCTATCACCCCATTCAATAGTCAGTCCTCTGAATACTGTAACAGAGAGATGCATCTTGGCCCCTCAGAGGGAGAAGGGCTGACTTGTCCTTGGGCATTGTCCTTTGTGCTTTCCTTGTGTTCCTTGACCATTTGCCATGCAGCTCCAGGTGACAGAGAGCACATACATTAGGGCCAAGCCTACAACATTACAGAGTATCTGGATGAATAGGAGGTATTAAGTACAGGGGTAGGGTGGGAGTTACCACACAAACTGAAGTGAGTTAATATAGGCTTTTTTCTGTGTTATTTCTCACTAAAGTTTCATGTGAAAAAAACATTTGTCACACAGAAGATGGTAAAAATAGCCACAGTAGCATACTTGGCCACTGTTAAAACTGACTTAAAGTGGGTACAGCCTCAGTGTTCACAGTAAACACGCACCAGAAGTTGCACAGAATTTTCACAACGTTCAAGTTTGTGCTCAGCAGAAACCTAACATTTGTTCAGTGGCAAAAAAAAATTGAGGGACATTGGCCATGAGGCTTTTCATTTGTTTTTTAGTCTTTAGTTCGGGCATGCCTTTTGTATTTTTCCTTCTTGTACATATTTAGAATTTTTCACCATCTGAACCAGCAATAATCCGCTTGGACTGGCCGAATAAGAGGTCGAGAGAGACAGAGCTGGCCCTGGACCAAGGTAAGGTTGCTGTCTCCCTACATTCAACACCTATGCCAGGGGCAGGCAACCCTGTTCCTGGAGAGCCACAGGGTATGCAGGATTTTGCTTTAACTGACCTGAAAGACCAGTTGTGTTGAATTTAGTCAATCACTGAACTGACCAACTGAGCTAATTGATCAGTTCAGTGATTGACTAAATTCAACACAACTTCCAGGTCAGTTAAACCCTGTGGCTCTCCAGGAACAGGGTTGCCTACCCCTGACCTAGGTGTTGAATGTAGGGAGACAGCAACCTTACCTTGGTCCAGGGCCAGCTCTGTCTCTCTCGACCTCTTATTCGGCCAGTCCAAGCGGATTATTGCTGGTTCAGATGGTGAAAAAATCTAAATATGTACAAGAAGGAAAAATACAAAAGGCATGCCCGAACTAAAGACTAAAAAACAAATGAAAAGCCTCATGGCCAATGTCCCTCAATTTTTTTTAGCCACTGAACAAATGTTAGGTTTCTGCTGAGCGCAAACTTGAACGTTGTGAAAATTCTGTGCAACTTCCGGTGCATGTTTACTGTGAACACTGAGGCTGTACCCACTTTAAGTCAGTTTGAACAGTGGCCAAGTACGCTACTGTGGCTATTTGTTCATAATGTATGCCTACCAAAGTGGTCTACCATCAAAAACAATGGAGAAAATGAATCCCATTACATTTGAACATGGAAATAATTATTGAAATAGCTGTTTCATGATACAGCCTACAGCAGCAGCCAATGTGTGGCGTTCAATGTAGGCCTACACATTCCACAAGACTTTTGAAAACATGCAGGGCTTGATATTAATCTGTTTAGCCACTTGTCCTTCAGACAAGGACGTGACTGAAAATGTTGTTGTATTGTGTTGTTTGATGTTTGATGCAAAATAAAATGCATTATTATTCCCATACCATTATTATTATTACAGCAAATCAGACAAACGTGTATGCTACCCTCTGCCTATTGGCTACTTAGCTTATTCAAGCCTATCTCAAAATACAACACTGCCCCTTTAAGACATAAAAAAAGCTATTTACCTGACTCGCTTTTCAAAGATGGCTAGAAATATAAACGTTTTGTGCTCTTGTGAGAAGCAATCACTCCCACATTGCTAACCAGAAATGAGCTATAACTGGGCTAATAACTCACTAATTAGCAAAGAATAGGCCTATGAAAAAAATGTCACATGCGGCTACATGTGGTTCTTCGCTTTGATCTCAACACAAGCTTATCTACTCGTGATCGCTCTTGCCTGTCAATGGAGTCTTGCATAGTTTGTTTTGTTTCGGTATGTTGCATTGAAGGGGGCTAATATTGTGTTGATTTGATCACAATTCCCACAGTAGAGGGAAACGTTGATAGTGTGAACTAACTCTAGTAAAGTTCCATCTCGTGTGTCTCTGCGCGGGATGATATTTCTTCTGTGCAGCAGTCCTCTGGGAGCTGCGTGCCCGCGCGAAGCTTAAAGAGAACATTGCTCATGGCCACCAAACAAAACCAGCCACCTCACGACTTGCAAGCTGGGACACTCACTGATGATCACCTTAACTGGTAGTGCTTATCAACCAGGATCAGCACTTGGAGAAGGTTGCCGCTGCCCCCTGGGGGAATGGTGTATGGAAGTGGTAGTGAGCTGTAGTGTGCTGTCTAAACTATCTGACAAGAGGTCACACCTCTGACTGAGGTCAGAACAACATGATCTCTCACACAACATGCTTCTTGAGCATGTGGATTGATGCTTGTGACAGTTCATGTGATGAACCACAGAAAACTGCCTGCTGGCTCGTCTTCAGTTTGATTTTGCGGATAGTATCAAGTGGTTTCAGTTGTACATTTACTGCAATCATATATTTTGAGACACTGCCTACCACTAATTTCATCACTTTGTTTTTCTCTATTAGTTTATCTTCTAAATGTGTTACCTGCTGGTAAGTGAATCTCCTTGAGATAGTCATGGCAATTACTTTTTTCCCATTGAGTGAAAAATAAATCGTAGTATGATGCACAAATCAGATACATTTGCTGAGTTGTTAAATACATTCATAAAAAAGATGGTAAATTAACCAAAGCTGTGAATTTTGATGAATGACTTCCCATATATTTTTACCTGACAGTCACTTCCCAGATCAGGCTGGTCAATGGTAATGGTCGCTGCTCAGGAAGAGTGGAAATCTATTACAGTGGTCAGTGGGGAACAGTTTGTGATGATTCCTGGGATATTAAAGATGCTGAGGTGGTGTGTAGACAGCTGGGCTGTGAGAGTGCAAACCAAGTCCTAAGTAAAGCACACTATGGTCCAGGCAGTGGAACGATCTGGCTGGATGATGTTGCATGCACTGGTAGTGAAGGCTATCTCACAGAGTGCCTGCACAGAGGATTTGGAATACATGACTGTAGTCATGCTGAGGATGCTGGTGTTGTCTGCTCAGGTAAGGGAGTCACATAGTCTTGCCATTCCAAGTTCTTTCATGACACATCTGTTGATAGTTGATATCCTGAAATGCATGATGTCCTGAGATTAATTTCATCATCTAAAAACCACCCAGTTCTGTGCCTTGTAAATGACCTTGACTTTAATGTTTGTCTTTTTCCGCTACCAAGCTGCCCAGATCAGGCTGGTCAATGGTTTTGGTCGCTGCTCTGGGAGAGTGGAGATCTATTACAGTGGCCAGTGGGGAACAGTGTGTGATGACGACTGGGATATGAATGATGCTGCGGTGGTGTGTGGACAGCTGGGTTGTGGGAGTACTGTAGGTGCCCCACTTGCTGCCCATTTTGGTCAGGGTAGTGAACCAACCTGGCTGGATAATGTGAAGTGCTCTGGAAGTGAAAGCCACCTCTCAGAGTGCTCACACAGAAGATTTGGAGTTGAAGACTGTAATCATGGTGAAGATGCTGGTGTTTTCTGCCTCTCAGGTAGGGAGTGGTTTTATCATGTTGTAGACATCTTGTGACATGAGTGTACAAACAGTTCAGAGCGATAAAAGCAAAAACATGAAAAACAAAGCCTGGGGTCGACAGTTACGACAACATTTATTTGAAATACTGCTGCTTGTGATTTTAATGTATGTATGGTCAGTTAAGTGCAACGTTTACTTTAGATTAAAATAACGTGAACAGGACAGAAAGTGGAATGGAGTACTACATGTGTCTGTGTCTTATAACTAATACACACAACTTTTGTACAGGTTTAACCCTGAAGAGACCTACCCTCTCTAAAACGCCTTCCCATTCAGCTTTTTCACCTGGTGAAACGGTTCAGTTCATCTGCTCTGTCTCACAGCGAATTGCCATCACTGCAAACTTTGACTTATATAGGGGTGGATCTCCAATACTCACCCAGGCAGTTGAATCCACTCAGACCAGTGAGACTTTCACATTGTCCAGTCTGCAATCTTCACACCAGGGAAGGTACAGTTGTCTACAACAGATAACCAAGAATGGTCAGAAAATGATCAGCTCTTCTTCCAGCAACTCCATGGACATTACTATTGGTGAGTGAGACTGCGAACACACAGTTGAGGGCACTAAAACATTTTCTAAAAATGTGATTTGCAGTACAGGTTTTTGTAACAAACTATCACTAGTAGATGCTAGAGCAACTTGTTGCACATGCACTGCAGAAATTCTTCTGCCAAAAACTGTTCAATGCCCACTTCTGTAAGGTTATATTTACAGTGCCTTCAGAAAGTAATCACACCCCTTGACGTTTTCCACATTTTGTTGTGTTACAAAGTGGGATTAAAATGGATTTAATTGTCATTTTTTTCGTCAATGATCTACACAAAATACTCTAATGTCAAAGTGGAAGAAAAATTATATCATTTTTTATTTATTTTTTATCATTAAAAATAAACACTAATATATCTTGATTAGATATGTATTCAACCCCCCTGAGTCAATACATGTTAGAATCACCTTTTTTGCTGAGGAGATCTTAGTTGAGCAATTTTACATCTAACTAAGATGTTTGGTGCAGTATTTCTCAAGTGAAAAAATGTGCATGAAAACAATTAGTCTCTTGTTGAACGACAACAAACACTTCATTGAAGAATCCCTACTGTTGACCAATCACTGACGAAGGGGTGTAGACTTCGGCCACTGACATTCGGCTTGCCTCAAGATAAAGTGACTAGGCAACAGGATAGATAATAAACAGTAACAGCAGCGTAAGTGATGAGTCAAAAGAGAGGCTGCTGTGACAGAGAGGCATAGCAGCCATGTCTCAATATCTACTGGAGATAAAACAGTTTCAAGTCTGGTATTCGCTCTCTATCGCACCCTCTTCAGCACTTTTCTCATTACACTAATTATATAATGAGACCAATTTGTTGGTGCAAAAAGGGTCAATGCAGATAGTCATGGTAGTTTATGGTTAACTATTTAACTATTTAGCAGTCATATGGCTTGGGGGTAGAAGCTGTTCAGGGTCCTGTGGTTCCAGATATGGTGCATCAGTACCGACTTGCCGTGCGGTAGCACAGAGAACAGTCTATGACTTGGGTGGCTGGAGTCTTTGACATTATGCCAGTAACACAAAATCTCAATTTAATTCTAAACGCAGGCTGTATCACAACAAAATGTGGAAAAAGTCAAGCGGCGTGAATACTTTCTGAAGGCTCTGTAGGTTAATAGTTCACCACATACACAACTGCCATCTCTTGTTTAGAGTTAAGAGGACTTTTTGAAAAATGGAAAATCTCAATTTCAGTTTAGATTTTTTTGGGGGTTCTATGCAGTTGTAAATCAAACATATACATTGTAAAAGTTTTTTCAATTTGAACTTATTTTAGAAAAAGAGTGAATCGTGAAAGAGTGCCAATACATTTGACCACGTCTGTACATTCACAACCCGTGCTGTTGTTTTCGCCTACCCCCACCCCAGCCCCTAACTGCTTGTTGTTCTACTTTTTTATATAAGGGGGAGGTGTGAGATATTCTGCTCTGGTCCACAGCAAAACAATTATTTAACTGGCTTTATTATGACTATATTACACCTTAATTTCTCAGTGACCCTCCCAAAGCCCCAAATCTATCTGAGATCTGCCACAGAGGTTGCTTGGGGTAAAGGAGTTGACATCATCTGCTCCATCACAACACAGCACTTGCATGGAACATTCAGTTTGCAGAAGACTTCAGCCTCATTCAGAATGGACAAAACCACAAGTAGCAACTCTGTCACCTTCAACATTCCTAAAGTGGACTTTAGCCACGAGGGGTCATACCGATGTCAGTATCAGACAAGGGTATCCAGTCGAGACTTCAGCTCCACTCAAAGTTACTCTGTTGAATTTTCGGTTATAGGTGAGCAACTAAACATTAATGGGTGAACGCCATCAGCAAGAGGAACACTGGGTTCCCGAGATTATACATTATTTAATGCAAGAGTTTGGATATCTCTTCATAATGTATTCTAGCATAGTGTTTTCTTGGCTATAAAAAGTATTGTTATGCTGCAGTCACAGTGCACACGTTAACAACCTGCTCTTGTCTTTTCCTAGTCGTCTTGCTACAGCCCAACATCTCTCTCAGTGCTCCAAATGGATGGATGGTCTGGGGACTTCAGGGGCCAGAGGTGACCAGGGGCCACAGCTTCTCCATCACCTGCTCCATTCAGCCACAGTATCCTGGAGGCCTCTTCTATCTGGACTTCTCTGGGTCCAACAGAACTGAGACTACGCCTGCAGTCAACCACTCTGCCTCCTTCCACTTCCCTGTTGCAGAGTATAAAGACCAGGGGAACTACAGCTGCAGCTATGGAGTCAACGTCTCCACCCGGTCATTCCGTTCTACCAAGACAGAGTTGCTGACAGTCAGCATTCGAGGTAAAATAAGTTTTAGTTTCATGTTCCTCAAGTGCATTACCATGAAGGCCATATTTAAGGATTGTGAGTAGAAAAATATATAGATATTATCAGTCCTATCAGTCATACAATATTTTTTAAAGACCAATGTTTAAACATTGTAGAAGAATTTGATAGCTATACAAATTCTGAAATGTAGGTCTTCTGAAAGATGCTGAATATGTTGTTTCTCTCCATAGCATCTATAGTCCCCATTATTGCCTCTGGCGCAATAGGTGGGCTCCTCCTCCTCTTGCTGCTGCTAATTCCTTGTCTAGTCTGGAGGAAGAGAAACAGCAGAGAGCAGTCTATTATGAGAAACCCAAGAGAAAGTAAGTTCTAGTTCCTCTAATTAGGATTTTGATTAGGGTTGCACAATTCTCAGGTTTTCAAGAACTCCCAGTTGGAAGATTCCTGAAATGTGGAATCCTCCAACCAGGATCTCTTGAAAACTTGGACATTTTGATTACCGGAATTTTTCAACCCTAATTTTGTTATGGTTTTGTACTGTTTATGATATCTATTCCTGCTTACATTCACTGATGTCATTTATATGAATTGAACTGATTAATCCCTCAGCTGCCATTCACATGAACACATATGGAAACACTGTAGGTGAAGCGAGTGAAGAGGATTATGAAGAGGATTACATCAACGCAGAAACCTTTGTCAACAAGAGCAAAGATGAAGACTTGAAAAAAGGATGCCATGCAGGAATGTATGTGAAAAGGGATTTGCTTACCACTAAAAATAATGATTAAAAAAATGTCTGCAGTTATGAAGGGATAACGTGTGCCAAGATCCTGACTTGAAGTCCAGGCATGTAACTCAAATGTAAATGTATTCATCCTCAGGAATGCTCCAGGATCCATGAATAAGTGTGGAAACAACCAAGGTAAAGGACCAGAGGCAGGTGAGGAAGATGAGGAAGTCTATGAAAATCCAGATACATTCACAGAGACAGATTTAGCTGAAGATATGTATGATGAAGACAATTAGTCTTTAGACTTGGAGCAGCTCGCTTCATGTAAAGCTGGAGGGGAGAATGACTATGAAGAAGATGACAACATATACGCAAACTATGAGTGGAGGACTTGTAATAGGCATGTTGATGCATAACAAAAATATGAATGCAACACGTAACAATTTCATAGATTTGAATCAGTTACAGTTCATATCAGGAAATCAGTCAATTGAAATAAATTCATTAGGTCGTAATCTATGGATTTCACATGACTGAGAATACAGATATCCTTAAAAGAAAATGGCCTCACAATGGGCCTCAGGATCTCGTCACGGTATTTTTGTGCATTCAAATGACCATCGATAAAATGCAATTGTGTTCAATGTCCATAGCTTATGCCTGCCCGTACCATAACCCCACCACCATCATGGGGCACTCTGTACACAATGTTGACATCAGCAAACTGCTCGCCCACATGACGCCATACACAGGGTCTGCAGTTGTGAGGCTGGTTGGATGTACTGCCAAACTCTCTAAAACGACGTTGGAGGCAGCTTATGGTAGCGAAATGAACATTCAATTATCTGGCAACAGCTCTGGTGGACATTCCTGCAGTCAGCATACCAATTGCATGCCCCCTCAAAACTTGAGACATCTGTGGCATTGTGTTGTGTGACAAAACTGCACATTTTAGAGTGGCCTTTTATTGTCCCCAGTACAAGGTGCACCTGTGTAATGATCATGCTGTTTAATCAGCTTCTTGATATGCCACACCTGTCAGGTGGATGGATTATCTTGGCCAAGGAGAAATGCTCACTAACAGGGATGTAAACACATTTGTGCACAAAATCTGAGAGAAATACGCTTTTTGTTCATATGGAACATTTCTGGGATCTTTTATTTCAGCTCATGAAACATGGGACAAACTCTTTACATGTTGCGTTTATATTTTTGTTCAGTGTATGATTTCTATTTGGGGTACTGTTTATGATAGCTATTCCTGCTTACATTCACTGATGTAATTTATATGAATTAAAATAAATTAATCCCTCAGCTGCCATGAGCATCAACAAGTACGGAAACACGGTGGGTGCAGCGAGTGAGGAAGATGATGAAGAGGAATATGTCAACGCAGAAATCTTCGTCAATAAGAGCAAAGATGAAGACATGAAAAAAGGATGCCATGCAAGCATGTATGTGAAAAGGGAGAAACTTACCACAAAAAGTTATTTTGAAAATGTCAGCAGTTATGAATGGATACCCTGTGCCAAGATCCTGACTTGACATCCAGGCAAGTAACTCAAATGTTTGTATTCATCCTCAGGAATGCTCCAGGAGCCATGAACAAGTGTGGAAACAACCAAGGTGAAGGACCAGAGGCAGGTGAGGAAGATGAGGAAGTCTATGAAAATCCAGATACATTCACAGAGACAGATTTAGCTGAAGATATGTATGATGAAGACAATTAGTCTTTAGACTTGGAGCAGCTCGCTTCATGTAAAGCTGGAGGGGAGAATGACTATGAAGAAGATGACAACATATACGCAAACTATGAGTGGAGGACTTGTAATAGGCATGTTGATGCAGAACAAAAATATAAATGCAACACGTAACAATTTCATAGATTTGAATCAGTTACAGTTTATATCAGGAAATCAGTCAATTGAAATAAATTCATTAGGTCGTAATCTATGGATTTCACATGACTGAGAATACAGATATCCTTAAAAGAAAATGGCCTCACAATGGGCCTCAGGATCTCGTCACGGTATTTTTGTGCATTCAAATGACCATCGATAAAATGCAATTGTGTTCAATGTCCATAGCTTATGCCTGCCCGTACCATAACCCCACCACCATCATGGGGCACTCTGTACACAATGTTGACATCAGCAAACTGCTCGCCCACATGACGCCATACACAGGGTCTGCAGTTGTGAGGCTGGTTGGATGTACTGCCAAACTCTCTAAAACGACGTTGGAGGCAGCTTATGGTAGCGAAATGAACATTCAATTATCTGGCAACAGCTCTGGTGGACATTCCTGCAGTCAGCATACCAATTGCATGCCCCCTCAAAACTTGAGACATCTGTGGCATTGTGTTGTGTGACAAAACTGCACATTTTAGAGTGGCCTTTTATTGTCCCCAGTACAAGGTGCACCTGTGTAATGATCATGCTGTTTAATCAGCTTCTTGATATGCCACACCTGTCAGGTGGATGGATTATCTTGGCCAAGGAGAAATGCTCACTAACAGGGATGTAAACACATTTGTGCACAAAATCTGAGAGAAATACGCTTTTTGTTCATATGGAACATTTCTGGGATCTTTTATTTCAGCTCATGAAACATGGGACAAACTCTTTACATGTTGCGTTTATATTTTTGTTCAGTGTATGATTTCTATTTGGGGTACTGTTTATGATAGCTATTCCTGCTTACATTCACTGATGTAATTTATAGGAATTAAAATAAATTAATCCCTCAGCTGCCATGAGCATCAACAAGTACGGAAACACTGTGGGTGCAGCGAGTGAGGAAGATGATGAAGAGGAATATGTCAACGCAGAAATCTTCGTCAATAAGAGCAAAGATGAAGACATGAAAAAAGGATGCCATGCAAGCATGTATGTGAAAAGGGAGAAACTTACCACAAAAAGTTATTTTGAAAATGTCAGCAGTTATGAATGGATACCCTGTGCCAAGATCCTGACTTGACATCCAGGCAAGTAACTCAAATGTTTGTATTCATCCTCAGGAATGCTCCAGGAGCCATGAACAAGTGTGGAAACAACCAAGGTGAAGGACCAGAGGCAGGTGAGGAAGATGAGGACATCTATGAAAATCCAGATACCTTCACAGGGATGGATGATGCTGAAGATATGTATGATGAAGACAATTAGTCTTTAGACCTGGAGCAGCTAGCTTCATGTAAAGCTGGAGGGGAGAATGACTATGAAGAAGATGACAAGATATACGCTAACTATGAGTGGAGGACTTGTAATAGGCATGTTGATGCAGAGATATTGATGCCAGGAGAGGCTTGAAATGTTAGCTTGGTGAGTTGAATTATAACATTTTTCATCAAAATGCTCAGTTAGTAGATAAGAGAACAGGCTTTGTTTGAATGTGAATTTCAATGTACTGTACATTATTTGGGTGTATGATTTCTAGGTGTATTCTTGCCGGGTAATTGTATGAGTTTTCTGACTTGACTAACACATGTAGCTCTATTTATCTTTTTTATTATTCATTAAATAAAAATATACAGTGGGGAGAACAAGTATTTGATACACTGCCGATTTTGGAGGTTTTCCTACTTACAAAGCATGTAGAGGTCTGTAATTTTTATCATAGGCACACTTCAACTGTGAGAGACGGAATCTAAAACAAAGAAATCCAGAAAATCACATTGTATGATTTTTAAGTAATTAATTAGCATTTTATTGCATGACATAAGTATTTGATCACCTACCAACCAGTAAGAATTCCGGCTCTCACAGACTGTCACGCCCTGGCTCTGGGGACACTGTTATGTTGAGCCAGGGTGTGTAGATCTATGTATTTCATTTCTATGTTGGCCAGTGTGGTTCTCAATCAGAGGCAACGAGTGTCAGCTGTGGCTGGTTGTCTCTGATTGGGAACCACATTTAAACAGGCTGTTTGCCCACAGTGGTTGTGGGATCCTGTTCGTGTTGGACCATTGACTGTCACGTTATCGTTTTGTTGTTTTTGATCGTGTGATCATTATATAAATAAATATGTTCTCATTCAACGTTGCGCCTTGGTCCTCCTCTCTTCCCGACGAACGTGACAGAAGATCCCACCAAGACTGGACCAAGCAGCGTGTCCAGGAGCCATCGCCAGGGAGATCTCTAGCAGATCTCCTTCGCCTCCTCGACTGGGTCAAGCCGGGTGAGGAAGAGAAGGGCCGGACTTGGAAGCAGAAGGGCGAAAGTCTGGCGAGGGACATGGAGACCTGGTCCACGGGTAGGAGAGACGCCCAGAAAATGTTTAGGGGGGGGCTAACGACGTGGACGACGGGCCAGCAGGAGACCGCGACAGAGCGGCCCAGCGGGTTGGCAGAGGAGGCCGCCAGGTTACGGGGGCCACTGGTCGAAGAGGGGATGGAAGGTGTAGAGGCACGGCGAGAGGTACTGGGGTGTGTTACCAGTCCGGTCCGGCCCATTCCAGATCCCTGCGTAGGGCCAGTGGTGTGTGTCCCCAGTACGGTCCGGCCTGTTCCTGCTCCCCGCACCAGGCCAATGGTGCGAGTCTCCAGCCCGGTCCAGCCTGTTCCTGCTCCACGCACCAAGCCAGGGGTGCGTATCGTCAGCCCGGTCCGGCCTGTTCCTGCTCCCCGCACCAAGCCTATGGTGCGCGTCGCCAGCCCGGTTCGGCCTGTTCCTGCCACTCGCACCAAGCCAGGGGTGCGAGTCGTCAGCCCGGTCCAGCCTGTTCCTGCTCCACGCACCAAGCCAGGGGTGCGTATCGTCAGCCCGGTCCGGTCCGTTCCTGCTCCACGCACCAAGCCAGGGGTGCGCATCGTCAGTCCGGCACTGCCCATGCCTGTTCCACTGGTTCCTGGTCCGGCACCGGTCAGATGCGTTACGCCGGAGCTAGAGCAATCCGCTCCATCAGTGTGCTGTCCAGCTCCGGTCAGCGGGGCCATACCGGACCAGGGGTACTTTGGGGGGTTGGAGAGGGAGTGGGGATCAGGCCCGGAGCCGGATCCGCCGCCAAGGCGGAGTGCCCACCCGGTCCCTCCCCTGTGGTATTTGGTTGACGCGGTCGGAGTCCGCGCCTTTAGGGGGGGGTACTGTCACGCCCTGGCTCTGGGGACACTGTTATGTTGAGCCAGGGTGTGTAGATCTATGTATTTCATTTCTATGTTGGCCAGTGTGGTTCTCAATCAGAGGCAACGAGTGTCAGCTGTGGCTGGTTGTCTCTGATTGGGAACCACATTTAAACAGGCTGTTTGCCCACAGTGGTTGTGGGATCCTGTTCGTGTTGGTTTGTGTTTGACCATTGACTGTCACGTTATCGTTTTGTTGTTTTTGATCGTGTGATCATTATATAAATAAATATGTTCTCATTCAACGCTGCGCCTTGGTCCTCCTCTCTTCCCGACGAACGTGACACAGACCTGTTAGTTTTTCTTTAAGAAGCCCTCCTGTTCTCCACTCATTACCTGTATTAACTGCACCTGTTTGAACTAGTTACCTGTGTAAAAGACACCTGTCCACACACTCAATCAAACAGACTCCAACCTCTCCACAATGGCCAAGACCAGAGAGCTGTGTAAGGACATCAGGGATACAATTGTAGACCTGCACAAGGCTGGGATGGGCTACAGGACAATAGGCAAGCAGCTTGGTGAGAAGGCAACAACTGTTGGCGCAATTATTAGAAAATGGAAGAAATTCAAGATGACGGTCAATCACCTTCGGTCTGGGGCTCCATGCAAGATCTCACCTCGTGGGGCATCAATGATCATGAGGAAGGTGAGGGATCAGCCCAGAACAACACAGCAGGACCTGGTCAATGACCTGAAGAGAGCTGGGACCACAGTCTCAAAGAAAACCATTAGTAACACACTACGCCGTCATGGATTAAAATCCTGCAGCGCACGCAAGGTCCCCCTGCTCAAGCCAGCGCATGTCCAGGCCCGTCTGAAGTTTGCCAATGACCATCTGGATGATCCAGAGGAGGAATGGGAGAAGGTCATGTGGTCTGATGAGACAAAAATATAGCTTTTTGGTCTAAACTCCACTCACCGTGTTTGGAGGAAGAAGAAGGATGAGTACAACCCCAAGAACACCATCCCAACCGTGAAGCATGGATGTGGAAACATCATTCTTTGGGGATGCTTTTCTGCAAAGGGGACAGGACGACTGCACCGTATTGAGGGGAGGATGGATGGGGACATGTATCGCGAGATCTTGGCCAACAACCTCCTTCCCTCAGTAAGAGCATTGAAGATGGGTCGTGGCTGGGTCTTCCAGCATGACAACGACACGAAACACACAGCCAGGGCAACTAAGGAGTGGCTCCGTAAGAAGCATCTCAAGGTCCTGGAGTGACCTAGCCAGTCTCCAGACCTGAACCCAATAGAAAATCTTTGGAGGGAGCTGAAATTCCGTATTGCACAGCGACAGCCCCGAAACCTGAAGGATCTGGAGAAGGTCTGTATGGAGGAGTGGGCCAAAATCCCTGCTGCAGTGTGTGCAAACCTGGTCAAGACCTACAGGAAACATATGATCTCTGTAATTGCAAACAAAGGTTTCTGTACCAAATATTAAGTTCTGCTTTTCTGATGTATCAAATACTTATGTCATGCAATAAAATGCTAATTAATTACTTAAAAATCATACAATGTGATTTTCTGGATTTTTTTTGTTTTAGATTCCGTCTCTCACAGTTGAAGTGTGCCTATGATAAAAATTACAGACCTCTACATGCTTTGTAAATAGGAAAACCTGCAAAATCGGCAGTGTATCAAATACTTGTTCTCCCCACTGTATATACACTACCGGCCGGTCAAAGGTTTTAGAACACTTACTCATTCAAGGGTTTTTCTTTATTTTACTATTTTCTACATTGTAGAATAATAGTGAAGACATCAAAACTATGAAATAACACACATGGAATCATGTAGTAACCAAAAAAGTGTTAAAGAAATGAAAATATATTTTATATTTGAGATTCTTCAAATCTTGGCATTTTCTCAACCAGCTCCACCTGGAATGCTTTTCCAACAGTCTTGAAGGAGTTCCCACATATGCTGCTTTTCCTTCACTCTGTGGTTCGACTCATCCCAAACCATCTCAATTTGGTTAAGGTCGGGGGATTGTGGAGGCTAGGTCATCTGATGCAGCACTCCATCACTCTCTTTCTTGGTAAAATAGCCCTTACACAGCCTGGAGGTGTGTTGGGTCATTGTCCTGTTGAAAAACAAATGATAGTTCCACTAAGTCCAAACCAGATGGGATGGCGTATCGCTGCAGAATGCTGTGGTAGCCATGCTGGTTAAGTGTGCCTAGAATTCTAAATAAATCACAGACAGTGTCACCAGCAAAGCACCCCGACACCATAACACCTCCTCCTCCATGCTTTACGGTGGGAAATACACATGCGGAGATCATCCGTTCACCCACACCGCGTCTCACAAAGACATGATAGCCAGTTTCATCACAGCGCTTGATGGTTTTTGCAACTGCACTTGAAGAAACTTTAAAAGTTCTTGACATTTTCCCGATTGACTGACATTCATGTCTTAAAGCAATGATGGACTGTAGTTTTGTCTTCCCCCCCCCCCCCCCCCCCCCTCCCCTCACCTTGTCACAACACAACTGATTGGCTGAAACACATTAAGAAGGAAAGAAATTCCACAAATTAACTTTTAAGAAGGCACACCTGTTAATTGAATGCATTACAGGTGACTACCTCATGAAGCTGGTTGAGAGAATGTCAAGAGTGTGCAAAGCTGTCATCAAGGCAAAGGGTGGCTTTTTGAAGAATCTCAAATATAAAATATATTTTGATTTGTTTAACACTTTTTGGGTTACTACATGATTCCATATGTGTTATTTCCTAGTTTTTATGTCGTCACTATTATTCTACAATGTAGAAAATAGTAAAAATTAAGAAAAACTCTTGAATGAGTAGTTGTTCTAAAACTTTGACCGTTAGTGTATATTATTTACTTGAGATTCAAAAGAGTGATTGTCTTGATGCATTAGCTGAACCCATTGAACATAATGTTATTTTTTTTAAATGTTCCACATAAAAAAATATATTAATATTTTAGACTAATTCTCTTCTATAATATTTTGTGTGCTGTCAAACAGTTGTGCTGTCAAAGAATGATCCGTAGCAATGACTGTTTGTGATATGCTAAACT